GAGATGCGCACGGGGAGTTCATGTACTAATTAAGCTAACTTATTCACAGCAAGCGTAATATTCGGACGTGTTATGGACAAATACTGAAGAAGCCCAATTAACCTGCAAAAAGAAGTAGCCTCAACTACCGGAGATGCATCATCAATGACAATAGAAGAAGTTAAACTCATCGGTGTGGAAACCGCTTTAGCATCCTGCATGTGAAACTTTGTCAAGATATCTGCTATGTAGCGAGTCTGGGATAAAAAATAACCACCCACAACATGGACAACCTCAACACCCAGAAAATGATGTAAAGTACCAAGATTCTTTAAAGCAAATCGGCGAGACAACGCACCAATAAAACATTCCAAGAAGCTATCATCATTACTTGTGAAAAGGATGTCATCCACATAAACCAAAAAATAAACTATAATACCGCACAAATTGTAAATAAACAATGAAGCATCAGACACAGACATTATCGGTCGAGAAGCGTCAATAAAGCCAGAAGGTTATTGCATGTAGACAACCTCATGTAAAGTCGTGTTGAGAAATGCATTATTGACATCTAATTGGCGAACAGACCAATTTCGAGTCAGAGCAATAGTGAGAACTACCCGAATAGTCACAGGCTTCATCACAGGGCTATAGGTCTCATAATAATCATGGCCCTGTTCCTTCAAAAAAAAAAAAAAAAAAACTTTTGCAACTAGACGAGCTTTAAATTTATCAACTGAGCCATCAACCTTACGCTTGACCCGGAAAACCCACTTACATCCAATGACTTTGTGATCGGTAGCAGGGACCAGCTCCCATGTACGATTGCGGTGTAGTGTTGTATATTCATCCTCCATAGAGGCTATTTCAGAGCATGAGCAACTATGGGAGGTTCAATAGTAGTAGGGATAGAATGAGTAGTGGTTATATTGATGAAAGCATCACCATAGTACTTTAGATTCAACTTACAATGACGTTTTGGCTTATCAATATGCTGCGGCTAGGTAGAAACACAAACACTCGAAGAAGCAGGTTATGCCTCAGCTGACACGGACGGTTGATTGGATAGGTTGGGAGGAGGATGAGATGGTGACTCTTGAGGAGACACAAACTCAGTTTGCGGGAGACTAATTAGATGGGTATTAGGCAACTATTGTGTAGAAGAAGTAGAAGATTGAGGAGGAGACACTGGCCGGTGGGAGCGGTGATACTAAGGGTATTGAAATAACTGGAGTTCCTGAAGTTATAATAACAGGATTAGACTCAGATATTTTTTTTAGGAACCGAGACCAACCTAGGAAAAGGAAAATCAGTCTCAACAAAGCGAATATGACATGAGATGTAGACCCGATGAGTTACGGGATTATAGCATTTGTAAGTTAACTGAGATTCTGAATAACCTAGAAAGACACAAGGCTTGGATTTGGGTTGAAGTTTTGAGGATTTATATGGACATAACCAGGGAAAGCAAAGGCAACCAAAGGACTTGAGTTTTGTATAGTTGGGAGATTTACAAAATAATTTTTGAAACGGGGACACATAGTTCAAGATTGAGGTGGGCATTTTGTTGATTAAGTACACTGTTGTACGAAAAGCATAGGGCCAGTAAGCTATTGGCATAGAAGCCTGATGAAGTAATGACAGACTTGTTTCGACGATGTGCCTGTGCCGGAGTTCTGCTGTACCATTCCGTTCATGTGTGAGGTGGAGTGGTAAAATGAGATATACCAATATAATTTTTAAAAAATGGGATTAATTTAAGGAATTCACCACCATTATCTGAAAACACAAAGATTATTTTCTGGCCAAAATACCTTTCAACTATTTTTTGAAACTGAGGAAAGAGAGTAGCAACATCAGATTTTTTCTTAAGGGGGTACCACCATATGTACTTCGTAAAGAAATCAACAAAAATAATATAGTACGAATAACCATCAACAGAAATATTTTTTGTGCTCCATACATCAGTATATAACAGCTCAAGAGGCCTAGAACTACGCAATGAATTTTCTGAAAAAGGTAGTTTGTGACTCTTGTTTATATTGCATGAGACGCATTTGAAGTTACAAATGGCCAACGACGGTAAGGACAATTTATTGTGATGAGAAAAAAAAACCCAAAAGTTTATTAGCAGGGTGCCCAAGGCGATGATGCCACTCAGAGACAGCTGGAACAGTGAGAGTATTAATCTGAGGATTACTCGGCAAGGTGGTGTAATAAACATCATGGAAGTTCTTTCCCTGCATCAGACACGCCCCCGAGCGAAGATCCTTGACACGAAAAAAATAGGGGAAAAATTCAACAGAGACATGGTTAGTTTGACACAGTTACTGAAACAAGATTACGTTGCAACTTAGGAACACACAACACATCATTTAAAGAAAGATCACGAGTAAATGTGGGTAAAGTAGTTGAGCCTGTATGTGTAATTTGTAAACGATTACCATCACCCAAGTGAATTTCATCTGGACCACCATATGCCGAAATGGAAGGAAGATTGGCTAGATTGAAAGTGGCATGGTGAGAAGCCTGTAACACCCCAGATTTTCAAGACATTTAAAACTTATAATAAAGGTAGAATCTTATTAAATCCCAAGATATAAATACAAGCGTTCGGGGTGCTATGCCACACCTGGGCTAGAGAACCCAAGTGCACAGGCTAACTAACAAATATCCTCAAAGCGTAAATACGTAAACGTGGCACGCAGGCCAAAAGGGAAACTATCTACTTCTAAGTTCTAGCGCACTCCAGTAACTTAATCTTCTGTGCCTGAAAGCCAAATATATCTGTTCAGCGAGAGATGCTAGTAACCCACTCCAATGCGTTGAAATACAATACATATAGAGATATATATAGATATACGAAAACCATTTTGAGCATGAAGATATATCCTACGAACTCTAGCTTTAAAAACCGGGAATGACTCGACAGATAAGGCCAGACACAAGCACAGTTATAACGAGCATATGCAGTTCTCAACAGATAAGGCAGATAAGGCAAAGCATAAACAATGATCATAACCCAACATGAACAATCCCCAATATAAATCCCATAGTCACATCCCCCAAGACACTCGTAATCACAACTCGTCCAGGTCACAACACATAACACACTTTGTTGGCGCCACAGGACCAATCGCATGCCCATACATGAGGGTCAGCGCATATAGCTCTGACACGGCCCCGCAGCACCCTGCCCCGTATTGCAACACGGAGGGGTCGATCGCAACCGACCGATGAACCGCAGCTCATCATAGTGTTTGATCGCAACCAAACAGTGGACCGCAGCCCAACAGAATGTCATCTGACCGCAGCCAAGAAAAAGGACGAACCGCAGCTCGTATAGAAACGTTTGATCGCAACCAAACGGTGGACCGCAACCCAAGAGTATCAATCTGACCGCAGCCAGCTTCTGAACCGCAGCTCAGGATAACCAATCCGATCGCAACCGAATTGGGGTAACACACACATAACACATAGCAAGCACATGCAACCCACATTACACATTAGGAAGGGGGAGAGAACGTATAACAAAACCTATGCGTGATCCATCACTTACTAAGAATAGTCCTAAGGGGTTCATACTTCTTCCACCTAGGTCAACGGGATACCAATTCAACTAGCATGCAATATAATAGACCCATAAACCTACGAACGGTACCCGAAACATCAAACTAGACATAGGCACGATAAACGGAGTCCGTTGGGACGCCACGGGGAACGGGGAACATCAAACGGGGAAGCCGGGATCCCAGGTTGGGGGGATTTCCAGCGGGTAGCCGGTGGGTGGGGGGCCACCCGCCGGACTCACTGTTCCGGGCAGCTGCCCGCCCGCCGGCTGCCCGCTGCCGGGAAGGTGTTCTCGGCCGTGGGTAGGTGGCGGGTCCCCTACCCCCCACTGACTCTTATCACACAATACGCCCCGGGAACCGTTGTGGAACCCGAAACCATGCTTAGACACTTTACAACGTAATTAATGACAACACGTAGACAATTAACGGATCAAATACGAGAAACGAACGGCACATAACCTATCATGCTTTTCTAAACATAATCAACACCCAAACATGCGATTTCCCCACCCCACAATCCAAGAATCATAACATACGATACAACCTAGGGTTCTAATCACTTTTATGTCAATAAGAATACGATTCGCCTTCTAATTGCAAGATTCGGTAAGGATAACACATAAGCATCAAGAACGTCACACAATTATCAAGAACAACACATAATTATCAAGAATTCCATATAATCATCAAGAACACCATAATTATCAAGAATCTCCCAATATCAAGATTATCAAGATCCCTCATGGGATCATCACATCAAACATTAATAATCATCATCATATTTCGCCAATCACAATAATATGGGGGAAACCCTAAGGGGGAATCATAGCTATGAAAATATGTTTTGTTGAGACATGGGTTACCTCTTAGCCTTAATTAATTCCTTGGCTATGAAGGGTCTTTCTTTAAGCTTTCTTGCTTTCTTGATTTCTTCTAAGGGGATTCTTGGAGCACTTTGGGGTGGTGGAACGTTTATTGTGGTGGGGGGTTCTAGGTGCCTCTTAAGTCCCCTATTTATATATTTAGGAGTCCTGGTTAGGAACTAATATTATAGGCTTGCTAATTCTATTCCTTTTGGAACTAAGGATTGGGTTTAGGGATAAGGGTCCATGGTCCATAGTGGACCATATTAATTAATTAAAGGGAATCCTAACCGTAGTCTGAATAGTAAAAGGCCTACTTCCTTTATTCCTAATAGATAACTAGGTCTAGGATTCCTAATTAGAATCTGAATAGTAAAGGGTTTACTTTCTTTATTCCTAATAGGCTTAGGACTCTAATTTAGGCAAGGGTCCACGGTTCATGGTGGACCTTTATTAATTAATTAAAGGAAACCTAACCGAATTAAATCATATTTAATTATTATTAACGGGATTAATTTAATAATTAATCCGGGGTTGAAGGCCGTAACACGGGGTGTTACAAAGCCCCACTATCAAATAACCACGGCTACTGTTGTTGAGGTTGAGAGATGACTGAGGTATTAACGGAGGGACCTGCAAAGTTATTGGGAGATTGGTGAAGACCAAATGGAACATTATTGTCACGTAGGAACCTCGCTAATTTCCGGCAAAATCTAGTCTCAAGACCCTGAAAGTTACAAAATTTACAAATATAAGTCTGACGATGGTCGTTAACATTTTGCCGATTCGAGGGACGAGAACGACGTTGACCGGTTCCCCGTGACTGATCACGCTGGTGATTTGAGGGTGGAGTTCCAGATTGTAACTGAGTTACATTCGCCGTGACTAAATGGGACTGTCGAGCCTCTTCTATAGACTTTATCATCCGCTCATGGTCCGTTAAAATACTGTAAAGATCACCAAAGTTGATGCATCCTCCTTGCACCCGGATAGCAGGAATCAATGTAGCATATTCATTGCCTAACCGATTCAAAACATACGAAATGAGATCAGAATCAGAAACAGGATTATGCGCAGTTGCTAAGGAATCTGCGATCGAACGCATGTCCTGCAAATACTCTGTGATGGACCGTGAACCTCTGGGATTACTTAATAACCTGGTTTTGAGATAAATAACTCGGCCCATGGAGTCATTTGCGTAAGTGGACGTAAGCCGAGTCCACGCCTCCGTTACGGTTGTAGTAGAAGAAGTCAACGATTGTAGTGATTCAGAGTAGCTCCCTAACAGCGCACCAATAATGATCTGATCTTGCCTGAACCAGACAGCATGTGTCGGGTTTGGGGTCGTGCCTTCGGCATTTGAGAATTTTGCAGGTTCTTTAGTATCACCATTAATATAGCCTAAGAGATCAAAGCCAATTAGAGTGGTCTCTACCTGTCGCTGCCATACCGGATAATTTGTATCAGTCAGCCAGATGGGGAAATGGGTAGGAACATTGATATGGACAATGTTAGCCATGTTGGCCAAAGCAGAAACAACCATAGCAAAAAACAACGAAAGGGAAAATAAAAATTAGGACCGTAGAAATTCTCAATGGAGAAAAGTTGCTCTGGATACCATATAGAAATATGATTGGAATGATAATTCTTTGTTGAGATGAATGGAATATATATAGATACATCAGAGATAGTCTAGGAAGAGGTTACAGATTAGTAGGAACTGTAAATGACTTATTCAACAAGAAATAAATATAACTATTAAACTAATATAATTAATCTGTAATACATAAACCATTAACGTATCATTGGATACCGACGACGTACTACCATAAATAACCACATTAGTTCTACGATTGCTGACCTAAGTCAAGCCCTCCTGCCATTCGAGATTGGGATTAGACACCTCCATTTTAATCCTCGCTGTCTGCCAAGAGTTTTGATTCCAAACAACTTCGCTCCTCTCTTTCCAAATACACCAACAGAAGGCAATGCATTTAAATTTAGCCGCAACACCAGCCTGGGATAATCTCCTTGAAAGTCGGGTTACGAAATCTTCATCAACTCCTGAAAGAGGGCAGTCCGTCAGTTCATGCCACAAAAGAGCAACCTGCACACATTCACACATCAATTGCTTTAAAGTTACAGGATGCATGTTGTCTACATTTTTTTTAATAGGAATAAGGTTCAAATTGGCCACTTAACGAAACGTGAAAGTGCAATTTAGACACTATACGAAAAAAAAAAAAGTACAATTAGGCCACTTAACCTTTCAAATGTATGCAATTTCACCTGATAGCAGGTTAAATTTCCATCTAGCAGGTTGCATGTTGACATAGATGATGACATAGGCATTTTTTTTAAAAAAAAAAATCTCACACACACAATACGTATATAATAATAATAATAATAATAATAATAATAATAATAATAATAATAACAATAACAATAACAATAACAATAACAATAACAATAACAATAACAATAACAATAACAATAACAATAACAGTAACAGTAACAGTAACAGTAACAGTAACAGTAACAGTAACAGTAACAGTAATAATAATAACAATAATAATAATAATAAGGGAAAATGGCACTTTTTCCCCCTATGTTATATGCTTATAGCACTTTTTCCCCCTGAGTTATTCATGCATCCACATTTGCCCCCTCAATTATTATAAAAGTGGCGGTTTTTCCCCCTGATAATATTAAATAGACATTTTTACCCTTAAATACATATTTTATTTATTTCTCTTGTTCAACAAATTATTGTTTATACGTAGGGATGGCCACGGTTCGGTTCGAACTGAACCGAACACTATAGCAATCAAATAAAAAAAAATTCGGTTATGATTCATAACATAACCCAATATTTGGGTTTCCGTTTATTAAAATTGTGAAGTGGAAAAAAATAGATTCTGAACCGTGAACCAGAGGTTCAAATCGGAACAACTACTAGCAATAGCTTAAAATTAGAATTATAATATTTGCAAATAGTGTATGTTTTTTTCGCATTTATATTGACTCTCACATATAAGTATATATAATCGCGATTTGGTTTTTATTTTGAATCGTTGTTTCACAATTTCGGATCCAATTTGAACTGTTGGTTCAAACATTATTTTAAAATTTTATTTTTTTATTTTTAAAGTATTCTAAATTCAACAATTAATGTATTTTATTTTTTCAAATTGTGGTTATAATTTGTTGGAGAAGTAAAATAAAGGAAATATTTATTTTAAGGGTAAATATGTCCATTTAATATATTAGGGGGGGAAATTGCCACTTAAATAATATAGGGGGAAAAAGTGCTATAAGTATATAACACAGGGGGAAAAAGTGCCATTTTCCCTAATAATAATAATAATAATAATAATAATAATAATAATAATAATAATAATAATAATAATAATAATAATAATAATAATAATAATAATCTTTATATATAAGAAAGCATAATCTAGGCACAAAATTTTCCTTCCAAAATATGAATTCATTTTGATAGAAACAAGATTAGCAAGTATGAATGCATTACTTGTGTGGGTGGATGTATGTATACATATTCTTTTGGAGTTATTATGTGGATTTATGTTTTATAAATTATATTTTATTATTATACTTCTATCTCTATCTCTATATATATTAAAGCATAATGAAGTGTGGAAAAAAAATTTATTGTATTGAAATTTATTGGTAAAGTTCAATTTTGATGATCTCTACTATTGATGATCTCTACATTATTATGTGTATTTATGTTTTTCGTTCAGTGATCAAATTGCACTTTTATATTTTGTTCAATGGTCAATTTGAACCTTATTCTATTATTGATGATCTCTACATAATGAACAGTTTATATCCACTTCCAATCTTCTATTAATTAGTCAAGCAACCATCGTAGGAAGAACCCAATTCGCACTACACCAAAGAAATTCCTGAATTTTAGGTGGGATCTTCAATCTCCAAATGTCACCCCAGGCCATACTAGGAGATATAACCTGCTCATGCATGCAAACCTGGCAATAGCTTATAGCCATGCTAGACTGTATAAAAACCCCTGATATCTCCTAATATGCATCAAAGGAAAGAAACAATTGGTGATTTAATTAGTGGAGGGTTTAAAAGGAATGAATCATATGTAACTAGAGGATAATTGATTAAATATTAGTATAAGGAAATTATGTATATTAGAATATATCATTACCTTGTATAGTTAGAATAATTAGTATAAATCGGTATTAGTAAGTTAATTAGTATAAATAGGTACTGACTCAAAGAGCCAATAACGCCTCCACTGAGGCTCGAACTCACAATCTTTCATATGGAAGTCCAACCCGAGTAAATAATTAGTATAAATAGGTTATTGTATATGAAGATGAAGAAACAGAGAAATATATTGTTATTCAAGTCTTTTAGGTTTTTTTTTTTTTTTTTTTTAGTCCTCATACGCTCGAAGTGTGAAATTGGAGTTTGTCGTGACTTGAATATGGTTAGAAGCCAGAAGCCTGCTCGAAAGGTTTCTTCCGTTATGGTTTAGGGTCATAACATTGGTGCTCTCGTTGAGAGGATTTGTGGATACATCACATAACAATTAGTGTTTTCATTGATTCCATTGGTAAGAGTATCCTCTATCTTTTTATTTTTATTATTATTGTAATTTTATTTTTGTTGGCTAAAATAATAAATAAATAAAAAGAGTGAAAAAATTGACCCAAAAAAAAGGACAAAGGAATGACAAAAGTATTAAAAAAAAAAAAAGGAAAAACAATTGAAAAAAGTTGCGAAAAAAAAAAGTATTATTATTATTATTATTATTATTATTATTATTATTATTATTATGGAAAACATTACTCATTGCTTATTGGTTCATGTACCCCAAGAGGTAACAATTAATCAATCAACCCCAAATCATGCAGCAGTTACAATCAAGGCATATTCCAAGGAAAATCTGCAATTATTATGTAATATGATTGTTGCTTAATTTCTACAATTAGACTTTATAATAGGGTATAAATTAAGACCTTCTCCTAGGCAGTAAGGCATCGAATAAGCTCTGAAATAATAGCTCTAGCAGCTGGGCAAGATATCTTCTTGCAGGAGGGAACCTTATGGTCCCCTGTTTTCTTTTCTCTCTTTTTGAAATCTAAAATTCTAGATTGTCTATTTCTCTCCTTACCTTTCTGTTCTTGGCCCTTTACTCTAACAATTGATGATTTTGTATTGTATGAGATCTTTTTTACAAAAGACGCGTACAATATATTCATATTTTGAAAGATGAGAGTCCCGCCTTCCAAGCTTTGGTATGGTTTGATTCTATCTTGGATGCATTCATGGCCAAAATATTTACAATGTGCATTGTGTTTAGACATTAAATATCCTGATTTAGAATTGTTGATGGTTGTGTGTGGAGAATTACAAACGGACCAAGATGACACTTTAGAATGTCACACTTCTACTTATTCTAATTCAACTTTTCAAGAAGAACCACTCAGAGAAATATATTGTGATTCTTCTATTTTGACTATTCTTCTTGAGTTCTTGGAGCCTTCACACGCTCAAAGTGTGAAATTGGAGTTTGCCGTGATTTGAATACGATTAAGAGCCAGAAGTCTGCTCGAATGGGCTGTTGGTTCAGGGAATAGGCCTGGAATGTCATAGCATTCCCAGTAATAGGCATATTCCTCTGTTTGGTAACCACTTGTATTCTCATGAACATTGTTCCCGGGAATGACATATTCCCCTTGTAAGGGGAATAAAGATTTCTGGGCCGCCCCTGGTATTAGGCTATTCCTGAGTTCACAGGAATAGCCTAAAGTTTATATTTCTTATTTTATCCCCCAATTAAATTTCACCGTCGCCACCACTACCACCACCGCCACCACCGTTGTCGTCGTCGTCGCCGCCGCCACCGCCACCACCACCATCACCCCAGCACCACGACCGCCGCCACCGTCGCCGCCACCACTAAAATATATTTCATTTCTATTCTTTAAATCAACCAAACACTGTAATATAATTCCTAAAGTCTGTTCCTTCCGCGAACAAAACAATAGAATACAATTCCTATTCTATTCCTTGTTTATTCCATTCCTTTTGAAATAGCATTCTTATTACCTCAAAATTCATTCCATGAACCAAACGTGCTGGAAAGATTTCTTCCGTTGCGTACTAAATTTCATGTAATTGCGTTCATTTCTTTTTCAAATCAGGCAGGCCCATAAGGTTTTGCATAACATACACTTTACCTCAGTAGTGATTTGTAATTAATTGGAGAAATAATTTTATTAATTTTTTAATTGAGATGATAATGTAAACTCTCTCATTTATAATAGTTTAAAAATTATATATGAGAAATAAATCGTACGCCGTACTAAAAAGTTCTTATGTGATCAATTTTTAACTTTGCTCCATCAACCTTTTTTTTTTTTTTTTTGAAAGGTTGCTCCATCAACTTGATCAATCCTTTTGAGAAAAATATTTTTGATTCTTGAATTATATCATAACGGTGGTTTCAATCCTTGAATTCCCTCCATAACCATTTTTCAA